TTTCAGTACATGTCAAATCTCTGTTTCCTCTTGTGAAAATATTTGCGACCTTAACGGAAATGAAATAGACCTTGGAGGTAGACTCGAATACTTCACACCTGAGACTGGACACCCCCTCCCCCCAAACAACCATGATCTTGTTTGAACCGCTTACATTCTGTCCAAACTGTCTCCCTTTTGGCCACGAGGCTATATCTGACCAAGAATATGACCTTATTGTCAAGTGAAACAGCGAGTGATACAATACTCTTCAACTGGAGGTAGCACAGGTAAGTCTCTGGAACTAGATATTTGTTTAAGCTAAGAAGTATATATATCTTTCTTTCTTCAATGTTATCAGACCTGTGCAACGACCTACTTTAAATTACCTTCAATATTTTAATAAATTTAACAAAACACACGACTAACACAAATGTAAATTTAAGCACCCAAGCTGGTTACGTTTTCCCAGCCAAAAGAACAACACAAAAACGTGTACTTTTACGCACATTGTATATGTCTTAGATAATTATTTGTTTTGTACTGATTATTAAGTATATAAAAATGTCACCCTTTTAACTACATGCCGGTAAGTATGTTGTATTATAACACAAAGAAACTGCAATACTTCCATCTACTTCTCTATTGTCTATTAGGTTATATCTGATTCCATTTGTACACTTAGAACAGCTTCATCACCATGATACTTTGTGTACATTTTGTGAAAAATGTTGACGTACTGGTACAGGTTGTATAAATATGTTATTGAACGATATCTGTTACACGAGAGTCTTGTGCCAGATGGTGTAATGTTTTAACACTGACGATCACGCATTTCAGATAACTTGTTAAGACACGTGAAACGTATCACCATAGGTTTGTAAATTTATATATTAGTGTTATGGAATTGTTTAGTATTTTGGGAAATACTCAAAGAAATTGTCTTTGCAATAGGTATATACATACTTACGAGCTACACTAGTATATATATTTCAGTCTTATTGCTTAACATTTAAACTCTTTCTCAATATATGGCGAAAATTCCAAAATGTAGTTAACACTAAAAGCACGGAGTTTAACAGTCAGGTTATTCATCTTACATTAAAAATGTATACCTCATATATATCATAAAAATAGTTTATTTTCAATATTAGGTATGTAAGAACCAAACAATAAACACCCAACAATAAGGCAGATTTCGTGTATTGTTTATATTGTTTTAGATTAATTTAACAAATTCTATGATTAACAAAAATATCTTTGTATTAAATCTACTCTAAAGTGTAACGTTTCTAAGTAAAATAAATTGTAAGTAGCTAAGATTAAGAATTTTTATAATAATTTTAGGCTTAAGATCTTATGTTTCATAGTTGTAACGAGTTAATAAATTTTAATATTAAGAATTTCGTTGTATTAATTCTTTATTTAAGTTTTAGGTTTCCATTTGTCATAAGACTTGGTAGATTCCATGAACAAAAATATGTTTGTTCTAGTTCTTTACTTAAGTTCTTAATATTCGAGTTGTATTAAACTTGTTTGTTGGATGAAATTTTCACTTTTTGCTCATCTCAGGGAAATAAAGTACTTGAAGTTTGAGGCCAGGGTGAAAATACCAGAAAAGTTGTTTTGAAGTCCATCTCGTGAAAGAAAATTAGTGGGTGGTATTAGGTTTGTGTGGTTGATGAAGACGAGTTGGGGATTAATTATGCATAAGTGTTTGGTTAATTCATTAAAATGTTGACTTTTGTTGTTGAGTTGTTTAATTATTGTGCTGTTTTGTGTGTTGCAATCAGTGGAAGTGTGTCTGTTCACATGTCTATATATTACACTAGAGATAACTAATTTAATGTGTGGTCTGAAGCTGAAGATATGCGCTATTGTGTTTTCAAGTTCTGGGAAACAGTCTTATCGGATTGTTTCAGGTCATTAGTACCAAAGTGAAGTATCAGAAATCGGCTAGATTCGGGAAGAGAACTGGTCATACCTATGGCATCGTATATTTTAGTTCCAGTGATAGATTTTGACAGGATTGGGTGTCCGTTAATAAAGGTTAAGTGTTCGTGTTGCTACTTAAGAATTGAATCCCCTAAAATGCCTATGTTAGGAAATAAAAGAGTTCATGTTCCTCACGTGGTTGTACATTCATGATGATAGAAAAACACGTAGGTTTAAGAAGTCTTGATAGAAATGAATAAAACCCCTATAACCCAAGCGCTTTCGAAAGGTGGTCCTGTCTGCTTCAGGGGCAAACTGGGAATGGTGGTTCCAATCCAATCCAGTAGGCATGGTAGGTATTTAGGTTAGTAATATATAACCCGGGGAGGTCAGAAACTTCTGTTTCTCTTCACCCCACTACATAATTAGAAATTATTCGCCGAGGCTTTTATGCTTTAAACGCTAACATGAGTGGTGGTTTTGACTTATAGATTTGAAACAGGTAATTTACAAATTGATGAACCCACAAGTTGAGAGAAAAGCTGCGCGGAGAAGAAGAGAAAGAAGGAGAGCTTCACTGCGTTTTTTGTTGATGATGGTAGTCTTCTTACTTTCTGCTGGACTTGGCGTTGCATGGCCACGTGACGTCGGGTGTTTGTAGCGCAGAGCAGGGAGATGTAGATCGAGTACGTCCGTTGTTGACTAGAATATTAATACTACATTGATTGTAGAGTTTTAGTTAGCTAGCAGATTAAGCGTTTATAGTTTACAGTTTAGACATGGATAAGGTACTATAGAACTAAAGATTTACGTTTAAATTTGACTTTTGAATTTAACTTTAACCCGGCCTGGTCCTTTTCAGGGCTAGGATCTGAGGATCCAAAGCATTAGGAAAAATTTTGCTGGGGGCAGGTGTAATCGAATGAGTGATATATATATAAAGGGAGTTTAGTGACGTCATGAAGGTCATCCACGAAATGTTTAGTCTATTTCTCTGTATTGTTGTAAGCATCTCATTTCCAGTACAGTATAGCTGATAGCGAGTGTACGTGAAAAGGTGTTAGGAATATTTTACTTTAGAAATGGATAAATATATGTATATTTAAAACTATACTTAAGTGTTTAAGTAAAATAAAGGTGACACCTGTAGACTGATTGAAGATGATATGTTATGCTAATTAATATTTAAAAACAGGTATGGAAAATTAGCGTTCACATTACATGAAAAAATAAGCAAAAAATAAAAAATATTTTTCTGACTTGTATTAAGAGATAGATTTCATGATTAACAATATGTTTGTATTAATTCTTTACTCAAGTTTCTTACTTGTGTGGGCCCGGCATGGTCAGGTAGTTAGGGCGCTCGACACGCAATCTGAGGGTCGCGGGTTCGAATCCCCGTCACACCAAACATGCTCGCCCTTTCAGCCGTGGAGGCGTTATAAAGTACGATCAATCCCACTATTCGTTAGTAAAAAAGTAGCCCAAGAGTTGGCGGTGGGTGGTGATAACTAGCTGCCTTCCCTCTAGTTTTACACTGCTAAATTATGGACGGCTAGCGCAGATAGTCCTCGTGTAGCTTTGTGCGAAATTCAAAACAAACAAACAAAAAACTTACTTGTGTAAACGTTTGGTATGTTTTATAATTAACAACCTTTACAGATTAATTAATTATTTACGTGCAGTTGTCAGAAATTAACTTGCAATTTTGAGTTATAACCAAGTAGCTGTTATCCTAAGTTTGTTGTTATAACATTTATGAGAAATTTAACCGTATAACTGTATAGAATGTTTAGAAAATATATATTTCTTAACTACATTGTTGTATGTATTGTATGAAGTTTTTACAGTTTTCATTAGGCTTAACATATCAGTTGTTCCTCGATGGATTTACAAAGCTAAGATCCAAAGTTCCGTTCACTTCTGTGGACACAGCAGAAACCCAGTGTGGCTTTGCTCTAAAATTAACTAACCAACATATCCGTTAAACAATAATATAAAATATGTGGATGGTTTCGACTCAGAAGGAGTAAGTATGTTACTTTCTAATCATACTATATAGAAGGTTTCAGTTCACAAGGTGTAAAAGATATTTGGATAGTTTCAGCTGAGACGTTGTAATGGTGTTAGTTTGTAATATAAAATGTTTGAATGTTTTCGGGTCACGAGGTGTAAAGATGGTGTTAGTTCTCCAATATAAAATATCTGGAGTAATGGTGATAGTTTATAATATATAATACTCTTGAATTGTTTCGATTCATAAGGTGTAATAGTGTTAGTTTGTAATATAAAATGTTTGAATGTTTTCGGGTCACGAGGTGTAAAGATGGTGTTAGTTCTTCAATATAAAATATCTGGAGTAATGGTGATAGTTTATAATATATAATACTCTTGAATTGTTTCGATTCATAAGGTGTAATAGTGTTAGTTTGTAATATAAAATGTTTGAATGTTTTCGGGTCACGAGGTGTAAAGATGGTGTTAGTTTATCAATATAAAATATCTGGAGTAATGGTGATAGTTTATAATATATAATACTCCTGAATTGTTTCGATTCATAAGGTGTAATAGTGTTAGTTTCTGGAAGAGTTCGTCCCAGAAAGTGACAACAACAACTTTCTTAGATTTTATTGGGTAGTTTTTTTAAAAGCTCGTCTAAGTTAATTTTTTTTTGAAGTTACAGTTTTTGAATATTACAGCCTACTTTACACGTTTTGTCAACATCTGGCAAAGTATATTCATCCCTGCTGAAACTTCTGTTATTAATTAGGCTAGGACATTCATTATTCAATAACTTTTTGTTTTAACGGTATGATCTGTATCCCACTCTAACATTTTTTTTTCTTCATAACATAAGGTTTGATGATATGAATATAATAATGATTGTTTATTTGTTTATAGAGCAATACCGCATTAGACTATCTGCTTTGTCCACTGCAGATAATCAAACCTCGTATTAATGATATATAAATAAACAAATATTTATGTAAATAGTTTAGGATATCCAGTGTGGAAGTTACAGAAACACGATATGGTATTATCTTCTCTTCAGTTACATTCTTAAGAATGGACAGGAAAGATAAACTTAAAAGCTTTGCACTCATCTTGCTAAACAACGAATCCGAAGGATCAATAGAATATGGAGAAAATCAAGCCTTCGATTACAATGTTAACAACGAACTAGACCAGACGCAAAGCTGCCTTGAATCAGGTTTCTGTGACGTCACTAAACCAGGCGCATCTGTAGCTGAGCATACTTGCAGGAGTGACGTTTTGCATGCTTGTTCTTGCAATGCTGATTTCTCGAGAGTAGCTCACAGGAAACATGCACTTTTCTACTTAGTAGAAAATGAAGAGCATAATACCTGTAATGAAGAATTATATGACGTCACTAGTCCTTTTCCTACTGAGTTACATGACAGGGAGAGTACGTCTTGTAACGATGAGACACCGTGCGACAGACAGATCGCCATAAGCCAGACGAGGGACTTGCCGAAGATCAATGCTGTGTCGAGTCAAAGTTACACACAAATTGATGACATGGCTCGAGATGAGGCACATCTCGACATTACAAGGTCAGCCCTTCCAGAAGTCCGAGATACAGGACAGATGGGAGATACCTCCAGTGGAGAATCATCACCTAACCATCAGCCTCTGGGTTTAGACCACATAGACATCGCCAGTAAGGAAGCAGATGTCTTGAGCAGTGAGAGTGGAGCAATCAGACCACTAATTCCTCCTGACGGAGACTATGGCTGGGTCGTGGTGTTCAGCGGATTTATAGTCGCTCTTTTGTCCTCCGGCCTCATGAGATCTACCGGCGTAATATACGTAGCTACCTTGGAGACCTTCCCCGACTCAACTTCGAGGATAGTTGGTTGGGTTCCAGGTGTACTAGCCATACTGACTTTTGGGATGTGTAAGTACAACTATTTAAGTCCATATTATTTACGAAACGTTTTTTTATAATACAACATTTATTCATGTGTCAAACAGACTAAATCGTTTCGGTTGTCTGATTTAGAAAGACATGAATTATAATCGTCCAAAACATGTAATAATATATGTTTTACAGACTGTTTGGGTCTTTTTTTTTGTGAATCAGCGCAACCTACAAAAAGTTGAGGAGAACAAAGAGAACGTAATGGAAAATGCTTCCTCGGTATACACACCTGATTCTTTGAAGTTGTAAAATAGTGCGTGGTCTTTTTGGCTATGTTACATTTCACAGCAAGTTGTAGAATAGTGCGTGGTCTTTTTGGCTATGTTACATTTCACAGCAAGTTGTAGAATAGTGCGTGGTCTTTTTGGCTATGTTACATTTCACAGCTAACTAAATGAGTTCAGTTATAGGATTTAGACATTTTAAGAGCAGTCTGAAAGAACAAAGTATGTTATAGTAACACTAGGTAGCAATCTTTAAGAAAGATGTACGTTATAGTAACACTAGGTGGCAATCTTTAAGAAAGATGTACGTTATAGTAACACTAGGTAGCAATCTTTAAGAAAGATGTACGTTATAGTAACACTAGGTAGCAATCTTTGAGAAAGATGTACGTTATAGTAACACTAGGTGGCAATCTTTAAGAAAGATGTACGTTATAGTAACACTAGGTAGCAATCTTTAAGAAAGATGTACGTTATAGTAACACTAGGTAGCAATCTTTGAGAAAGATGTACGTTATAGTAACACTAGGTAGCAATCTTTAAGAAAGATGTACGTTATAGTAACGCTAGGTAGCAATCTTTGAGAAAGATGTACGTTATAGTAACACTAGGTAGCAATCTTTAAGAAAGATGTACGTTATAGTAACGCTAGGTAGCAATGAGAAAGAACAGAGTACATTCTAGGGATACTAAGTAGCAGTCTGGAAGAACACAGTATGTTCTAATGACACTAAGTAGTACTCTGGAAGAACACAGTATGTTCTAATGACACTAAGTAGCAGTCTGGAAGAACACAGTATGTTCTAATGACACCAAGTAGTACTCTGGAAGAACACAGTATGTTCTAATGACACTAAGTAGCAGTCTGGAAGAACCCAGTATGTTCTAATGACACTAAGTAGTACTCTGGAAGAACACAGTATGTTCTAATGACACTAAGTAGCAGTCTGGAAGAATACGGTATGTTCTAATGATACTAAGTAGTACTCTAAAAGAGAGAAATTTGTTCTAGAAATATAATGTTAATTAAAGTTTTTGAAAGTTGCAACCACATTTTCTTTAAAGACGGTACAGGCATTTCTAATGTAATGATTTAAAAGCGGTTAGTAATTGAAAAATAATGATAACCATTTGAAGAAAAAATTAACATTTTTCTAATAGATTTGGTAAGAAAAATTCGACATTATTAACTTTTTAGAATTATTTATAATCATATATTAAAGTTGTACAAAAACTACTCAATTAAAAAGATGGTTATATATTGAAGCATTCCCCTCTAAATGGTCAGTGTTTTACAGTATCAGAGAAAAGAATGTGTTCAAATTGACTAGGTGCAGGTCTCTGCAGTATAGATGTAGTAACAATGCAGACATGAAGAAATCGATATCTTGACTGTCGATGGAGAAACTCCGAGTCGACTTGTTACTTTCCTTGTTTGAATCAAATCTAAAAGAAAAACAACAAAAGAAACTGGAGAGGTAAAATCACACCGAGAAGATAGAAACTGGAGATGGGAATGGGACTCAGCAGATACAAACTAGCGAGATGAAACAGGACTTTAAAAGATATAAACTAGAGAAATAAATCAGGACTAAAATTATAAAAAACTAGAGAAGAGAAACAGGACTTTAAAAGATATAAACTAGAGAAATAAATCAGGACTAAAATTATAAAAACTAGAGAAGAGAAACAGGACTTTAAAAGATATAAACTAGAGAAATAAATCAGGACTAAAATTATAAAAACTAGAGAAGAGAAACAGGACTTTAAAAGATATAAACTAGAGAAATAAATCAGGACTAAAATTATAAAAACTAGAGAAGAGAAAAAGGACTTTAAAAGATATAAACTAGAGAAATAAGATAGAACTGAAATTATACAAACTAGAGAGAATAAACAGGACTTTAAAAGATAGAAACTAGAGAAATAAACTAGAACTGAAATGATACAAACTAGAAAGAATAAACAAGACTTTAAAAATAAAAAATAGAGAAATAAACAAGGATTAAAATGATAGAAACTAGAAAGAATAAGCATGACTTTAAAAGATAGAAACTAGAGAAATAAGTTAGAACTGAAATGATACAAACTAGAGAGAATAAACAGGACTTTAAAAATAGAAACTAAAGAAATAAACTAGAACTGAAATGATACAAACTAGAGAAATAAACATGACTTTAAAAATAAAAAATAGAGAAATAAACAAGGATTAAAATGATAGAAACTAGAAAGAATAAGCATGACTTTAAAAGATAGAAACTAGAGAAATAAGTTAGAACTGAAATGATACAAACTAGAGAGAATAAACAGCACTTTAAAAATAGAAACTAGAGAAATAAACAAGGACTTTAAAAGATAGAAACTAGGGAAATAAACAAGGATTTTAAAAAATAGAAACTAGAGAAATAACCAAGAACTGAAATGATACGAACTAGAGAAATCAACTAGAACAAGTAAAGATTCGAACTAGAGAAATAACCAAGAACTGAAATGATACGAACTAGAGAAATCAACTAGAACAAGTAAAGATTCGAACTAGAGAAATAACCAAGAACTGAAATGATACGAACTAGAGAAATCAACTAGAACAAGTAAAGATTCGAACTAGATAAATGAAGTGGAGAAAAAAGCACAAATTAGAAGTGAAGAAATGGAACTGAAAAGAAACTAAGAGATTAACTAGGATTAAAAGTATACAAATAGGAAGAGATAAACTCAATGAATGTACTGATTTTGAGGTCGCTATGATGCAATATACACACTGACTGGTTCGCCGGTATGATCTCACTATGATGGAATAGGTAAACTATATGGATGTACTGATTTTGTGGTATGATGCAACAATTAAACTGGGTAGATGTACTCATTTTTGTATGACGTCACTATGATGAAACAGGTAAATTGGATCGATGTACTGATTCTATGGTATTACGTCACTATGATGCAATATATATACTAAGTGGATGTTCTGATTCTATGGTATGATGTCACTTTGGCTAAACGATTCAGTAAACTAGATGGATGTGCTAATTTTGTGGTATGACGTCACTATGATGGAACTGAAAAGCTCTATAGATGTAATAATTCAGAAGTATGACGGAAGTGGTAACTTGTGTGAATGTACGGATACTGTGGAGGATGTCACTATAATGGAACAGGTAAACTGTGTAGATGTACATTTTCTGTGATATGACTTCATTATGATAGAACAGTTATACTGGATGAACGTACCGACTCTGAAGTATGACATCACTATGATGCAATATATAAACTTTGTCGACGTACTTTCAATTTTATTTGTTTAGATGTTTGCTAGGTGGAGCATGACGTTCAAGTAGGCTTAGAATACATGGAAGTTCTAAATTTGATGTCGTGAAAATCTAGTAACTTAAATGCACATCTTGAGGTGAGAATCCAATACAAATTTTAGTAGGCCAGACAATTAAAAACTAACAGTGAATCAGTCTCTTTTGTGTAGAGTACCATTGAAGTATTTAGTTTGAGTTAAATATTTGGATTAGTGTTAACTACTTCATATATTCGGTTACTCGATCGACTACCCGTGAAATAGTCAAGTAAGTTTATTTTTATGTTAGTCGTAGCACAACTAGCGAGGTATTTCCTTTTGAACATCATTTGTAAACTTAAACCTACAACTTTCAGCAGTATACAACTAGTGCAGGCAGATTGAAAAAAAACCGTTAAGGGAGAAATAAACTAATTTGTTGTTTTTTATGTCATGGACTTCGAATTATTTTCAACAAATAATTTAGAATAACCAGCCCAATAAAATAACAAATATTCAACAACATAGAAAGTCTACAATAGAAAACAAAATATTAATGGTTTTACCTTGTAACGATATTAGTTGCTGTCTATTGGCAAAATCTGACATTTCGTAAAATCAGTTCTAAGACTAATAAATAACTTTTATTTACTAAAACATATTATAAGGATTCTAAATGCATGTATGAGGCTATCACGATTTTAGGTGTGTTTTTTTTTACCTGTTACACTAAACTTGAGTAACTGAACTTTTTCCAGCCCCATTAAGCAGTGTCCTTTCTCAGCGCAAGGGTTGTCGGTTCGTAACGATTGTTGGCGCCTTTACGAGCTCATTCGGATTATTCTTGAGTTACTTTGCTCCGAATGTTACGTACTTAATTTTCACGGCCGGTGTTCTGCTAGGTGAGTTTCTCATTAAAATATAGTTAATTTAATAAATATTATAAGTAACTGTTTTAGGAGTGTACTGTGGTCATTCCCATTTCACTTAAACATTTTGTTTATGTAATATAATTAATTTTAAGCAACCTTTAGCTGAACGAATTAGTAAATAGTCCATTTGAAGATTGGTTGTTTGTTTTCAGAACTAAAGTAAAAATTCTTTATCCAACGTTGCTAACTTCCAATCTTGGTAAGATAACACATTTCTGATAAGCAGACACTCTAACCAGATCTGATTTAACATTGCAACATTCTGACCAGCAAAGAGATTTACTAGATCTGATATAGTTTAACAACATTCTAAACAACAAACACATTAGTCTAACTTGCTGGTTTTACTTGTTTGGCAGGAATAGGATCAGCTTTGTCAATGACAGCAAGTATTATCATCGTGGGCCATTACTTTGTGAAGCGTAGAGCTTTAGCCCAGTCCATTTCGTTGAGTGGCGCTAGTGTCGGTGTCTTCCTCCTTCCTCCTTTGATCAAAGTGTGTCTGGAAGAATTCAAATTGAGAGGAACATACTTGATATTAAGTGGTATCGTGCTTCACAATTGCATCAGCGGAATTCTCTTCAGGCCTGTAGAATGGTATTCGAAACCTGTTGCAGGCAAGAATGATGACGTCAAACCCTTGAAAAACAAACCAAAATACTCAACCACAAACACTCCAGAAGAGGAATCTTGTCCAACCTCAAACAAAGTCATTGGAGGAGTATACCAATCTTTCATTAAGATTTTTGATCTACAACTTTTAAAGAACCCAGTGTTCCTCTGCATATGCCTGGCTTACACCTTCACAAGTATGGCAGTCCCCCATGCTTTCTTTTACATCCCCCCCCACGCAGACGCAGTTGGGATATCCAAAACTGACGTGAACACCTTATTATTGCTCACAGCGTTTGGAGACTTGGCTGGTCGGATCTTCTTCGGCTGGATAGCAGACAAGAATCTTCTCCCGAGACGTTATTGGTACACTTTAAATATTACTATAGGGGGCGCTGCTGTCTTGACCGTCACCTTAGCTCACGACTTCGTCACGCATGCAGCCTGTGGAGTGGTGTATGGAATAGGTTCAGGAGCTTGGTATTGCCTCACACCAGTCCTCCTAGCGGATTATCATGGAAATGAAAAACTAGGCCCTACTATCTCCTTGGCTCGACTCTTCCAAGGATTCAGTAATTTGTTAGTGCCTCTTGTAGCAGGTCAGTAAGTCGTTTCAAAGATAATACGTTTCATTTCTCTTGATTATTAATCAATAATAATTTAATTAAATATTACTCTCTGTACAGTTCTTTGTAAAGAAACATTACTATTCTGAAAAGCAATGGTGTCAAGACACTTCTTTATAAAGGAGCCTTAGCAGACTAGACAGTTCTTTATAACAAACAGTTGCTGTACTGGAAACGGGTGCTGTCCAAACATTTACTTATAAAGAAATACTACTGTACTGAAAGATAGTGTTGTACAGATAGTTCTTTATTAAAAAAAACATTACTTTACTGGAAAGTAGTGTTGTACAGACAGTTGTTTAAAAGGAAATGTTACTGTACTGAAAGGTTATACTGTCCAGACAGGTCTTTATAAAGAAATTATACTGTACTGAAAGGTTATACTGTCCAGACAGGTCTTTATAAAGAAATTGTACTGTACTAGAAAATAGTGTTGTACA